CATCGCCAGAGAAATCCTAGTAAACAACACAGAAATCATCGATAGATACAGCGATAGCAGGCGGCTTGACGTTTGCGAGGCACTACACATCAAGAAGTCAACACCAGCAATCAACAGCCAATTATTGCACAACTATATTCTACCCACCTCAAGACTCCGCTCCAATATAGAAGCATCAAGAAATATGGACCAATAGGCTTTCTACAAACACTTCTATTCAATACCCATTGTTTCTGTTCTGTCTTGTGTTGATACTTTTAATACCCTATTAATATCCCCTCATGTTCTGTCTTGTGTTAATGCCACATCACCCCTCCCACCTCATTCAAATGTAGATATAATAGCAGAGATACGTAAGTTCTAATCAGTTGTGTATTTGTGAAGTCTTTGAAAATGTAATAAGTTTTACGAAACGCGCCCGTGTCGCGTCAGACTAGAAATAAAAATGAATTTTGGAGAAGTGATTTTTGATTTACCTCCAACAGTGAAGCGTAATGTACGAAAGATTGAGAAAATTCGTGTTAGAATTATTAATCTTACTTTTTCGGTCATATTTAATAATATATATATATATATATATATATATATATATATATATATATATATATATATATATATATATATATATATATGCAGAATAACCACATGTGAAAAATAGAAAATGCTTAACGCGTTATCGGCTAATTCGCCTTCCTCAGAGCAAAGTAGAATGAAAATCTTCATTCTACTTTGCTCTGATGAAGGCGAATTAGCCGAAAACACGTTAAGCATTTTCTATTTTTCACATGTGGTTATTCTGCATACTTGGATCAGTGTTTTTGTGATCATTGTTGCATATATATATATATATATATATATATATATATATATATATATATATATATATATATATATATATATTTATATTGAATATGACCGAAAGGGTAAGATTAATGATTCTAACACAAATCTTTATAATATTTCTTATGATTTCCTTCACTGTCGAGGGTAGTTGAAAAAATAACTCTTCAAAGTTCATTTTAACACTTTATGGTCTGATGCCTAGAAGCATTTTGCAAGACTTACATTTTCAAAACCAATTTTACATACTCTGTCAATTCTTATATTCGCTTGGGGTGAGGTGATACAGGACATGATTGAGATGAACAAGTGAATCAATGGATACACTATTGTGTGTTTCATCTTTTTGCTTGTGTGTTGGTTCGAGGTCTTGAAGTGGGAAGAATGTAATTTTGCGTTAATTGGCTGTTGATGTTGGTTTTGACCTTTTGATGTGTTGGGCCTCGCTGATGTCGAGTCTCCTATTGTCGTTGTATCTATCGATAATTTCTGTGCTGCTTATTAAGATTTCTCTGGTGATGGTCTGGTTGTGTGAGGAGATTATATGCTCCTTGATGGAGCCCTGTTGGTTGTGCATTGTTAATCGCCTAGAGACGTTGTCATCTTGCCTGTATACTGAGATGTTTGGGGGTGACAGTCCCCAAGTGGGCATGAGAAGGCATAGACGACGTTGGGTTCTTTCAAGGCGTTCAGTTTGGTGTCTGGAGAGTTCTTTATGAGTAGGTTGGCCGTCTTCTTGTTTTTTTTTTTAGTAAATTGTTAATTGTATCTTCTGATTTGTGTCTGGGGGATGTCGTTCCTCTTAATAATATCTTACATGACATTTTCCTCCGTTTTATGAGCCGTCGAAAGGAAGTTCCTGTAAAACAGTCTAATAGGCGGCACAAGTGTTGTGTTGTGTTGATTCTTCAAAGGATGCATGGCGTTTCACCTTTCTTTTAATGACGTCTTCAACATAACCATTAGAGAAACCATTGTTGACTAGGACCTGCCTTTCCCTACAGAGTTCTTCATCGACCTGCTTCCAACTAGAGCTGGATATATATACATAAATTTTTGTTTACAGCCGCATTAATGATAGTTTCTCTGAGACATTTATGATTTTGCCTGTTTCCCTGTTTGAATTCATATTAGTGTTACAGAAAGTGTGAAGAAAAATTAAATATTTACAAGTCTTTTTTGAGCAATATACATAATCCTGCCAATATTGTGTTTTATAAATAAGATTTCACATTGTGTTCGTCTTCCAAGCTATGTATGCAATATAAAAAATTGCGTGTTTGAATTTACAAGAAATTATACAATGTGCGAATGTAAATCTATTTTGGAATCGAATCTGTGTATTAATTCAGTATGGCAAGCAGCGTCTAGCGACCCGCCACTCCGTGTATTGTAACCAGCTAATAATTTAGCCTAACAGGCGGAACTGGTTCAACGTTCATGCCTGTCCGCCGTTACGCCTCCACCGGTATAAAAGTTGCAGAACTTGCAACATTAAGTCGTCTGTAGCGGTGCAGGAGGGGGTGTGTGTATCCCCCCCACATCGATAAACTGCGGCCAACTTCTACCTGTCACACCTCGACTACTAACACGTAGAATTTGTTTTTCTTCAGTACCCCCTTGGGAGGTCTTGCCTGGCGCTGCAAGTTGAATTTCGTTCCTGATTATATACGCGCGATATGTCGGTTATACTCGCGTGTGATTTGTTGTCTCTGACGGAAGTGTGAAATAAAGTGTGGGGCTGCAACGTAAGTCAGTTCGTTCAAATGTTTGTCACTCTTGGGGGTCTCGTTTGTCACACTTGGGGGTCTCGTTTGTCACACTTGCGGATATTCGTTTGTCGCACTTAGGAGTCTTTGTTTGTGATATTTGGGGGTCTTCGTTTGCCACACATGGGGCTCTTTGCAATATTTTGGCTGCGATATTTTTTATAATTCTTTGGTTGCGATATTTTGTGGAGTCTTCGTTTGACAAACTTTGAGGGTCGTCCTTTGTTACATTGAGGGACATAATTCGTTTCCGCGATTACGCTCTCGCTTTTTCATCCGTGTTCTTTGTTTTGTCTCTTCGTGTGTATTTTACTTTTGTTGTTTGTGAGTTAAGCGGACTGTTTAGCAGGTTGGAGGTCATGATACATACTCATTCATGTATGCAAACAAAATGGGTTATTTGCTTGTCATGATAATAGTGCTTTTGATTTGTGGAAACTTGTAGAAGTTTATGTATTTGTCATTATAAAGTGTAGTTGGCACATACTATTTATTTATTTTGACTCATAAAATTTGCTTGAGGTTTGGTCAAATATTGGTATCCAAGTCTGCTGTGCCTTGTTTTTTCTGTTTTGAAATCAACAAAAAGCAAACAAGAAACCCCAAACACCTACAAAATATGAACCTGTAATAAAAAATAACTTTAATAAATTGCGTGACTTATGACAATGTTGAAGTAGAACTACCTGGAGCGGCCCTCGGGGATCAACTCAATATATTATTTTAATTTTTACCGCCTATTGTGGTATTACATGGTTTTTCTTTCATTGTTTGGCCGAGTACCCGAATTCCAACCTCTTTTTTATATTATTAAATATATTATATTTTTTATAAAAATATAAATATATTTATAAAAAAAAATATATATATATAAAAATATATTATTTTTTTATTATTACTGCCCGAAACGCTTTGCGTAATAGTGGCTTTAGGCATTGTATGTATTAGCTTTATCTATAAATCCATCAATGTTTGTATCACATCTTGTATGTATGTACTTTACCTGAATAAACATTTTATTTTTTTAATTATAAATAGCGTAGAGTTTATATATATAGATGTAGTATTTTTGTTTTCAATAATCGTCATAATGTTTGTGGCAAATGTTCGGCAAGGAAACTGGGATACTTTCCTTTATCGGCTACGATCAAAACCTGTCTAGTTGCCAATGGGTGAATACATTTTAAAACTGCTATTCAATTTGAATTTGTTTTGCGTCTTCACATACAAATGATAACTGCAAAGGCTTTATAATTGCACACGTGGAAGCGACAAAAATGCTGCGGTATTTTCAACAATTTGCTTTTCTGAACAAGGATTTTCTTCCCTAACGTACCTGAAAATAAAGAAATCACTTGGTGGACCCCGAAGACAACGTCCAAGGTGCTTTTACGCCAAAGAGCCTTGATAGCCATAAAAAATAAAAGCACATAATTTTTCCTAAACTTAAAGCGCAGATGTTTTGAATGAAATGATCAGGCTCTTTAATCCATGTTCCTGTTCACGGACTAATATAGATTTTTTTCTGTTCATAGAAGTTCATAGAAATCTTCTATTTTATTTCCAGTACACCTGGTGTTGTGTAGTATACCTTTAGGTTGTTACCATTATGCAAGTATCTGCCACCTTTACTTTTTCCCCGAACGTTTTACACCCGTGCATCTTGCATTTCCATTTTTTGTGTCCTGTTTACACAATGTCCTATGCCGCCTCATCATTCGTGTTCACATTTACAATTAGTCTGTAATAGTTTAAAGTCGTATTAACTGCTTCTTCCAACGACTCTGCTAATTTCGACACCCTATCCCTGGATACGTCCTACCCTGAAGACGTGATGTACGTCCATAGAGTTCTTCCCAATGAACGAGTTTCTGTTATTAAATGGGATTGAATTATCAAAATTACCCCTTTGAAGTCGATGATTTACTCCAATTGCCCTTGAGATTCACTCATGGCTAACACTGAACTTTGGCAGAACTTCACATACGATAGGAACTCCTTCCCTTAATCGTATTTTAATGAATTAATTATTTTAATTAATTATTTTAATTAAATTTTAATTAATTAACTAACCCTTAATCGTATCAAGTGATAACTTGAATATTTGTTAGGTTCCTCTCTTCGATTCTAGCCAACATCATTTATTCTAACCGAAATGCAAACAGTATACAAGATCCCATTGAGCCAAAATGTTCATCGTGTGCACTATTTCGCGTACACACCAGCCTCAGGAAAATACACCCTCATCCTTTTAAGAGCATCAGTTAAACAAAAACAAAACTGTGTGCTTATTATACTTGAGAATTCCCTAAAACCAAGATTTTCCCATCTTATTGAGTTCTTTCACCGCCTTAACTGCTGGACCCGTGTATAAATTCTGTCGGCGAGGTGCTACCTCGCCGACAAATCCAAGATATTTTTCATCTTCAGTGCACTACCTGGAGACAACGTTTCCGCCGCCTCGGAGTGCTTATCGTTCAGTGCATTGCCGGCAATGGAGGTCCTAACACGAAGCTTCTTCATGGTAATCTTCAGTTTCTTATTTCTAGCGACTTTCCACTCATCAGTAACCTTCGGAGTCAAGCTCACATTGTCTATCGCCGCCGCCACACTTTTTTTAGCAGAGCAATCTGTCACATTGTTCACATTAAGTCTCAGCCAGTTCTTGTTTTTTTTTTACTGCATTCTAGATACTTCGGCAAATTTTGTCTCGCTTGAAATTCAGTATTTGCTTATGAATATAAATTTGAATTGTTTTGTCCCTTGTTACGTTGTAATCTGTGACATCATTCTACGTAAATATCATTCAGGAACCTTTTCCAGTTAGCTTAGGACGTGATTAATAATTAGTGTGTTAGGGCATATGTGAAAATTTGTTTCCAAGGCTAGAAGAGATGATTTAATGAGACTCGAATGTCACTTTCATTGTCGCATTACTTTAGCGTGTGTAAGGCAATGGCTAGCTGTGATTTTGAGAGTTTAAGAATTAACTAATCAGTTAGAAGTGCAGTGATGTAATCCAAGAGCTCATGCGTCCGAATGTCTATTGGCAACTCACTTGACACCCACGCTGGAGGAGAGCAGCCACACTCAACAATGCTTTCGGTTAGAATTTTTTTATTATTAAATATTTATGGCACACTGACATGAGGGTCAGGGACATGTATTAACAGGATTCTGGAGCTGTTCACAGGAGGCCATCATGTTCTTGAAGCAAGTTCACATACAGTAATATGTACTTAAAATGTACATAACTTAAAATGACTTGGGTTATTGTGAGAAGACTCTGAGCGTCTTCAGACGGATGAGCATTTGTTTTCATTTTGCCCAGAAGGGCGAGTTTATTGGGCAGCGCCACTCAGTCTGTGAGTAAACATATCACCATAGCAGCATGTACAACACTTCTAATAGGAAGAAAGCCCGCTGGGTTGTTCATCCTGTCACTTGTACCCAGACACAGCTGGGACTTATTTAACTGTCTCAGGTGAATAGTTTATCAAACAAGAAGATTAATATTTACCAGATCTAAAGTTACGTAACCTTGCAGGTGCAAAATGGGGGAGAGCTTTTAAGAACAGTATCTATTTTTGAGTGTTTTCGTAACAAAAACAACGTGGGGGGTTTATTATTCTAAACGTGTTCTTGATGTCTCTTAGACTGGCACAGTCACCCAGGGAGTGGTCAAGGCGGTGTCCGACACACTCACCAGAGATTTTGCAGCTTCGCTGTTCAGCTGTTGTTTCCATTCCGAATCTCCATGGATATTTGTATCCAATACGAATTCTTGGTATTGCTGATTATCTCCCGCGGCCACCTCCCTTTCGTCCATAATGATTGGGATTGCCAGCTGCACCCTCATTGTACCAGCGTACAGTTTCACTGGTTCTTCTATCCTCCTTTCCTCGGTTACTTTGCCATGGTGATGTTGCCTGATAATACCTTTTAACTTGTAGAAAAGTCTTGGGTGTAAAGTATTCAATATGCAGCCCGTCCTCATAAACAAAAGTCCAAAGTTCATTTCATGCACCCGCCAAATCCCCTATTTATGAATTAAAATGGCTTTCACACGACTCATGACTCTCAACAGATGACGTCCGAACACTTCTGGAACAAGTGCTTCGCTGACGACTTTTGTTCGAACCACAATGCTGTAAATGCTTCACCTACGTTCTACAAATAATTGCCAACATAAACTATACACGTAACCTAACCAACAACAATATTAATTTATATTTGAGAAAATTCCTATTTTGAATTAAAAAAAAAATAGCATGTTAAAATTAGTGAATGCGTCTTTGGGGTCGACTTCTGGATGGAATGGACTTGGTCTGAGGACGAGTTGCAATATGGTTTCCTTCAGCAACCAGCACATCTGCTCATTCATTTCCACAGATTCCAGCATAGGAGGGAATCCACAAGAGCTTGGTCACCTTTCCCTGATTGGTTAGCTCTTTCACAGCTCTTGATTTCAGTGACTATCACTATTTTTGCTTGTTTTCTCCTAAAGATTTGTAGTGTAGCTTTTGAATCGGTGCAAATCAATGTACCATTTTTGCTTCTTTGAAGGAATCTTAATGCTATAACCATGGCAGTTAGCTCTGCTTGCGTTGAAAAGGCATAGTTCTCAAAGGTGCTCTTTCTTCATTTCCGTTTTGAAAGGCATTTTCCTAATTACAGTGAATGCTGTTCCAGCTCTGCCATTGGTAATATTAGATAAAACATCAGTGTAGATTTGATCTAATTCATTTCCGGTTTCTTTATTTATTTTACCGAGACACTTACGACTCATTTCTTGTGGTATGTTGTGGTCAATATATGCGTTGGGACCGAGTCTTGTCAAGATGACAACTCGTATGTCATAAATTGAGTATGACAGTTTGTGTATGGCTTAAGGACCTAAAGATTTGTCTCAAGTTATAGGAATATTGTTATAAATATATTTTTTTTTTTATTATTAGCACATTTAGGTACAACTGCATTTGTGCAGCTACCCTAGACTATATAAAGGGGAGTACAGCGTGTTAAAAAAAAACTAGCTACGTGATGCTAAAAATCCACATCACACAGGATGGTTAGTCATACAGAGCCGTGTGGTCAGTAGTCTTCACTGGCAGACTCTGGGTGCATTATGAGGATATCATGAACACGAGAGTGAATAAAGTAATTGCGAAGTTCCAGGTACCTCATGCTAGTGGGTCTGAATGGTCTGATAACTGGGCATTCGGTGATGTAGTGTGGGAGATCATGCCGCAGTTTCTGCTCAGAGTTTGCACCTGGAGTGCTCAGGATTGGGAGATCCGTCAACTGTAGCCACCTGCCACAGGTAACGGTAACCCAACCTGATCCTGGCAACCACTGTGTCGCACAGTCTGGTGGACGTTTTGTACTGCCCATAAACATAAAGTTTTAGATCTGAACAAATCATAGTTTTTGTTTATTCTGGTGCTTTCAGGTCGTTGGGAGTCGGTAATTTCTCTATCAGACCTGAGTGTTTGGAACAATATAGTTTTGACAGTAGAGATGGGGATACCTAGATCCAATTCAACTTTATCTTTGTTACACGCTAATTTGGCTGCAAAGTCTGTCTCATTATGATGGGTTATATTTATGTGTGAAGGTATCCATACAAAGGAGATTCGAAACCCTTTACTCTGTGCAGCGATTAGGTCATTTATAATTGAACTTCATATATTTATGAGGTTCTTATTGTCGAATTTCCAGAAATAGTTTTCGATTGCTTGAAGAGCAGACTTTGAATCACAAAATATTATTCCTCCTATGATTTTAATGTTCAGGTAGCTAATTGTTGTGCCGCTAGTTCTATTCTAATAAATAGTTCTAATATCTTATTAATCCATTTGCAATAAAAAAATTGAATGTTTTTTTGCAGTCGGATTTAAATTTAATGAGATGAAAATACGGGTTATAGTATTTATTATAGTTACGCGTTATTAAGCATGTAACTTATGACTGTTATAAACTTTTTTATTTCGTGAACGTTAACATTAATATTTATAATTGCTTTTTTTTAATTTTTTGTAAAATTAAAGTTTAAAAAAATATTTTAAATTGTCAACAATAATTTCGGGTAAATGGGCGAATTGAGGGAGGATGAAGCTGTGAAAATAACCAATTTAAATGTTTAAAATACAGAGATAGAAGGCATCCGCCAGTCTCAGGAGACTATGGAGTGGCCTCTCCTGGGCACAAAGCCAGGCTAGGTTGATATGGGTATAGAGGCGGTAATCTGACTAGTTGCAGCTGCTCCAGCATTACTGTACAAAGGGAAGGAACTATCAGGGGAAAGCGCCAAGCCACCATGCCTATATTGCACTTGGAAGGGGTCAGGGTAAGGATTTGGGATGGGACAGGGGGAAAGGAATGGTGCCCAACCACTTGGACGGTCGGGGATTGAACGCCGACCTGCAGGAAGCGAGACCGTGGCTCTACCCTCCAGCCCAAGTGGTTGGGTATACGTTTAGCGGCCTCTGACGTACTCCTGTGCTCGTGATGTTTTCCGCGTCCTGTTCTGTTCTCGTCATCTGTGTCCTGTTTCCGTGTTTACTGCGTCCTGTTCTCTTGTGTGTATGGACGCCCTGTTCTCGTGTGGGGTCTGGACGCCCTGTTCTCGTGTGGGGTCTGGACGCCCTGTTCTCGTGTGGGGTCTGGACGCCCTGTTCTCGTGTGGGGTCTGGACGCCCTGTTCTCGTGTGGGGTCTGGACGCCCTGTTCTCGTGTGGGGTCTGGACGCCCTGTTCTCGTGTGGGGTCTGGACGCCCTGTTCTCGTGTGGGGTCTGGACGCCCTGTTCTCGTGTGGGGTCTGGACGCCCTGTTCTCGTGTGGGGTCTGGACGCCCTGTTCTCGTGTGGGGTCTGGACGCCCTGTTCTCGTGTGGGTCTGGGCGCCCTGTTCTCGTGTGGGTCTGGACGCCCTGATCTCGTGTGGGTCTGGACGCCCTGATCTCGTGTGGGTCTGGACGCCCTGTTCTCGTGTGGGTCTGGACGCCCTGTTCTCGTGTGGGTCTGGACGCCCTGTTCTCGTGTGGGTCTGGACGCCCTGTTCTCGTGTGGGTCTGGACGCCCTGTTCTCGTGTGGGTCTGGACGCCCTGTTCTCGTGTGGGTCTGGACGCCCTGTTCTCGTGTGGGTCTGGACGTCCTGTTCTCGTGTGGGTCTGGACGTCCTGTTCTCGTGTGGGTCTGGACGTCCTGTTCTCGTGTGGGTCTGGACGTCCTGTTCTCGTGTGGGTCTGGACGTCCTGTTCTCGTGTGGGTCTGGACGTCCTGTTCTCGTGTGGGTCTGGACGTCCTGTTCTCGTGTGGGTCTGGACGTCCTGTTCTCGTGTGGGTCAGTGTGTCCTATTCTGAGGGGAAGCTTCCGCCCGCCAGCTTTTTCCCAAACTTGTCAGGTTTTCTCTGGGTAATGAAGATCGAATGTCCGTTTTCAACGCCGATGATAGCAGTTCAGTTAAGTTCGTTGTGCTATCAATTACGGTATTATCCAGGGTTGATAATCGTTTAATTTCTCACGATTATGGGAGCCTTTTCATGAGTCGATTTTCTTTGTGTACAGTTCTAGTGGCTGACAAACTTGGACTCTTGTGCATCCGACAGTAAGAATCATTTTCCAGTGCCAATATTCTTAAAAATACTTTTAATTTATAATGTGATAATTGCTCTAATCATATCCTGGCTTCTTAGGAATCGGGTGGATGGCTGAGGCAACTCCGCTCGTTGCTATTCAGTAAACGTGTTCAATCTTCCATCAACTTTGAACGAACTGTCTTCATAGATTTCTTACAAACAAACATTTAAAATATAAAGTTTGAGGCGGTTCACAAGGAGAGGATGGCTTTAATTTTTCGTCTCGTTGTTATTTGTTAAATTAATTATATTTTGCAGTTTGAGATAAGGAAAGTGTGTTATTACATTCATTATTACACATTTACACTTAGGCTATAGGTAGAGCTATGCTCCAAATGTCACATCTTCCTTGCATCATAAATTGTTTAAGAAATTTGTAGTTGTTTTAGCACATATAACCTACATATAACCACATCACTGCCTAATGTATTCCACCTGTTAACTACTCTGACACTGAAAAAGGTCTTTCTAATATCCCTGTGGCTCATTTGGATAATCAGTTTCCACCTGTGTCCCCTTGTTCGCGTCCCACCCGTGTTAAACAGTTTATCTTTATCTACCCTATCAATTCCTCTGAGAATTTTGAAGGTAGTGATCACGTCTCCCCTTACTCTTCCGTCTTCCCGTGTTCTGAGTTGCATTTCCCGCAGCCTTTCCTCGTAACTCATGCCTCTTAGTTCTGGGACTAGCCTAGTGGCATACTTCTGAACTTTTTCAAGCTTCGTCTTGTGCTTGACAAAGTACGGGCTCCATGCTGGAGTCGCATACTCCAGGGTTGGTCTTACATATGTGATATACAAGGTTCTAAATGATTCCTTGCACAGGTTCCTGAAGGCAGTTCTGATGTTAGCCAGCCTTGCATACGCCGCAATGTTATTCTTTTGATGTGGGCTTCAGGAGACAGGTTTGGTGTGATATCAACTCCTAGATCTTTCCCTCTGTCCGTTTCATGAAGGATTTCATCTCCCATTCTGTATCTTGTGTCTGGCCTCCTGTTTCCACTGCCAAGTTTCATTATCTTGCATTTACTCGGGTTGAACTTTAGTAGCCATATGTTGGACCATTCGTTCAGTCTGTCTAGGTCATCTTGTAGCCTCATACTATCTTCCTCCGTCTTAATCCTCCTCATAATTTTTGCATCATCAGCAAACAATGAGAGGAATGATTCTATACCCTCTGGTACATCATTTACATACATCAGAAACAGTATAGGTCCGAGGCCTGAACCCTGCGGGACTCCACTGGTGACTCCTCGCCAATATGAAGCCTCACCCATATGAAGCCTCACCCTCACTGACTCGCTGTCTTCTGTTACTTAGGCAATCCCTTATCCAATGGAGTACCTTTCCTTTCACTCCTGCCTGCATCTCCAGCTTTCGCACTAGTCTCTGGTGTGGTACAGTGTCAAAGGCTTTTTAACAATCCAAAAATATGCAGTCTGCCCACCCCCTCTCGTTCTTGCCTGATCGTAGAATTCAGTTAATCCTGTGAGGCATGACATGCCATCCCAGAAACCATGTTGGTGTTGTGTCACAAAGTTCCTTCGCTCCAGATGTTCCACTAGCTTTTTTCGCACAATCTTCTCCATTGACTTGTATGGTATGCAAGTTAGGGACTGGCCTGTAGTTCAGTTTTTCCTATCTATCCCCCCTTCTTGTATATCGAGATTACGTTTGCCATTTTCCAAATTTGTAGCAGTTCACATGTTACCAGTGATTTGTTATACATCATGGAGAGTGGCAGACACAGTGCTTCTGCTCCTTCTTTAGTATCCGTGGCGATATTCAATCTAGGGCCTATAGCCTTTGTCACATCCAACTCAAGCAAAAGCTTCCTTACATCCCCACTGGTAATCTCAAACTCCTCTAATGGTGCCTGGTTAGCTATTCCTTCTCATCTCTGGAACTTCTCCTTGTTCTAATGTGAAGATTTCCTGGAATTTATTATTGAGTTTCTCGCACACTTCTTTATCGTTTGTAGTGAATCTGTCTGTCCCTATCCTCAGTTTCATTACCTGTTCCTTCACTGTTGTCTTTCTCCTGATGTGGCTGTGCAGCAATTTAGGTTGTCTTCGCCTTGCTTGCTATGTCATTTTCATATTGCCCTTCTGCCTCTCTTCTCACCCTGACATATTCATTCCTGGCTCTCTGGTATCCTTCTCTGCTCTTAAGTGTCCTGTTATTTCTATAGTTTCTCCACGCTCTTTTACTTAGTTGCTTAGCTAGCCTACATCTCTGATTAAACCATGGGTTTCTCATCTGTATTGCAGTTTTTTTCCCTCTTGGGCCGGGATAAACTTTTCTGCTGCCTCCTTACACTGCGTGATACATTCCATCATGTCTTGGGCCGTCTTACCCCTGAGCTCTGTTTCCCATGTTATATCTGTTAGGGATTTTCTTATCTCCTCATAGTTTCCCTTACGGAATGCTAGCCTTTAGTTTTCAGTTCCCTTTCGCGAGTACTTTAACCACTCTTCGACCAGATACTCAAACGTCAGTACACAGTGATCGCTCATCCCTACTGGGGCATCTAAGTCAATTTCCCTTATGTCGGAGTCACTCAGAGTGAAAACTAGGCTGAGTCTCGCTGGTTTATCGTTTCCTCTCATTCTTGTGGGTTCCCTGACATGCTGGCTTAGAAAGTTTTTTGTTGCCACCTCCAGTAGTTTAGCTCTCCATGTTTCCTCTCCTCCGTGCGGTTCCTTGTTCTCCCAGTCTATCCTTCCGTGATTGACGTTCCCCATGATGAGCAGATGGGATGGATGTGTGTGTGTGTGTATATGTGTGTGTGTGTGTGTGTGTGTGTCTGTGTGTGTGTGTGTATGTGTGTGTGTGTGTCTGTGTGTGTGTGTATTTACTATTTGGATTTAGTATTTGTGTCTGCAGAATCGAGCTTTTTCTAACCAGTCTATTTTCCTCTATTATATGTACTGCATATATTTCTTTAACACAAGCGCGCGTACATACATCCCCAGGAAACAGCCCGTAGCAGCTGTCTCACTCCCAGGTACCTATTTACTGTTAGGTGAACAGATACATCAGGGTGAAAGAAACTGCTCATTTGTTTCTGCCTCCGCTGGAACTCGAACCCGGGCTCTTAGGACTACGATTCCCGAGCGCTATCTACTCAGCCGCGAGGCCCCCCTCGTGTGTGTGTGTGTGTGTGTGTGTGTGTGTGTGTGTGTGTGTGTGTGTGTGTGTGTGCATGCGCGCGTGCGCGCAGGATCGAATTGATAGCTCTTGAACCCCGCTTGTCTAACCATCGGTTGTCTATATCCTGTGTGTGTGTGTACTCACCTATTTGTGCTTGCAGGATCGAGCATTGACTCTTGGATCCCGCCTTTCTGGCTATCGGTTGTTTACAGCAATGACTCTTGTCTCATTTCCCTATCATACCTAGTTTTAAAAGTATGAATAGTATTTGCTTCCACAACCTGTTCCCCAAGTGCATTCCATTTTTCCACTACTCTCACGCTAAAAGAAAACTTCCTAACATCTCTGTGACTCATCTGAGTTTCCAGTTTCCACCCATGTCCCCTCGTTCTGTTATTATTACGTGTGAACATTTCATTTATTTCCACTTTGTCAATTCCCCTGAGTATTTTATATGTCCCTATCATATCTCCTCTCTCCCTTCTTTTCTCTAGTGTCGTAAGGTTCAGTTCCTTCAGACGCTCTTCATATCCCATCCCTCGTAACTCTGGGACAAGCCTCGTCGCAAACCTCTGAACCTTCTCCAGTTTCTTTGTGTTTCTTCAGGTGGGGGCTCCATGATGGCGCGGCATACTCTAAGACGGGTCTCACGTAGGCAGTGTAAAGCACCCTAAAAGCCTCCTCATTTAGGTTTCTGAATGAAGTTCTAATTTTCGCCACTGTAGAGTACGCTGCTGTCGTTATCCTACTTATATGTGCCTCAGGAGTTAGATTAGGTGTCACATCCACTCCCAGTCTCTTTCTCGAATCGTTACAGGTAGGCTGTTCCCCTTCATTGTGTACTGTCCCTTTGGTCTCCTGTCACCTGATCCCATTTCCATAACTTTACATTTACTGGTGTTAAACTCCAGTAGCCATTTCCCTGACCTGTGTGTGTGTGTGTGTGTGTGTGTGTGTGTGTGTGTGTGCAGGATCGAATTGATAGCTCTTGAACCCCGCTTGTCTAACCATCGATTGTCTATATCCTGACTCCCGACCTAATTTTTACCGTCATTTCTTCTACATATTTCTCACACGCATACATATACACAGGAATTTGTACAAGTTGATTGACGGCTGAGAGGCCGGACCGAAGAGCCGAAGCTCAACCCCCCCGCAAGCACTAGTAGGTGAGCACATCCCCAGGATGCAGCCTGTAGCAGCTAACTCCCATTTAGGTACCTATTTACTGTTAGGTAAAGGGATGCATCATTTGAAAGAATAAACAGCCCATATGTTTCTGCCTTGGCCGGGATTCTAATCCGGGTCCTTGTTCTGATTTGTGAATATTATATGTGATTGCAGGACAAGCGTCAGCTCTTGGGTCCTTGTGTTGTGTCTGGTATGGCCGACAGGACTGTTCCGTTGCTCTATAATTTTAATATTCTTTTATGTTCATGCAGCCAGTTCCCAGTTAATCCAATTTGCTTCTCAGACTTTATCAGTCCTTTTGTTGGGTACAATGTCGAGAGCCTTCAGCGTATTGTGAAGGTGCGGATAACCCATTCTTTTCTTTCCTGCACCTTGCCTAGCAGTCATCCTGTCTTCCTGTCTCTTGTGCCTGGC